ATTATGAACAAAAAAATAGTTAAAATTCCCACTCCTGTATATCTTATAACCAAGCTTAGAAAACATTAAATAAATGTATTACATAATTAACGATATCAAAATAGTTAGAGATGGCAGTGAAGGAAGAGTAAATGCTATGCAAATAAGATGGAAACCCAGCTCAATCTGGGCAGTAATGAAAAGTCATGGATGGTAGACCTGAGAGGGAGAGGGGTACGGCAGAAAGGTCAATACACAGAAGGACCATAATTTCTCCCAGGGTTATGCACATTCTCATTTTTCTGTTTCATTTCAAACAGAAACATCTTCTTCTCCATCACCCAAGGTTAAAAATCATCATTTATCTTTGACATTTTATTTTCATTTGCCTAAATAAATTGGTTGCCCAGTGTTTCCTTGATTCTCTATCTTCTTTCCTCTCTTCCCATGAATAACTGTGTTTCTGGTTTTACAACATTAGTTGTGTCCAGTTATACCCTTTTTTAAATTTTACTTACTTATTTTAAAAATATTTTTATTTTCCTTAAATAGTTATTCAAAGGAGTTACCATTTAACAAAGCAGTTTATGAAAACAATGTGTCTTATTTTACTTGCACTCAAAAGTATTTATGAAGCCTCTCTATGTGCCAGGACTCTTAGCTTCTGTGTCATGGAAATAGACAGAGTAAGCATGGCCTCCACAGAGCCTGGGCATCTAAAAGAAAGGGATGACTGTAAGCTAAACTACAGGGAAGGCCACTTCATCCTAAAGGAAGGTGTTGAGACCCGAAGGGGTGGCAGAAGTAATCCAAGTAGGTACAAGTGAGAAAGTGTGGCTTTTAAACAGTGTCCAGTCAAAACAACAACACAGCACTCTCAAGGACTTTGGTGATTGGAAAATAATAATTCAGTAGATATGAGCTGGCTCAATTGTAAAGGGCCCTGACAACTATCTTAGGGAATTTTGACTCTCCTCAGAATGCTGAAAGCCACTGAAGAGTTCTAAGGAGGGCAGTAAGGTGATCAGAAACATCCCAATTGTTGATGTTTGAGGGCTGAGATAAAGGGGGGGGGGGGCTGAAATAAAACAGAGGGAAAGGGAAAAGTTTTGTAGGTAAGATGAAGACTTTGGGCCACCTTTGTTCCTTCAGATGTCTCATCTCAGTCTTTTCTTCTTCCATGGCCCAACCAGCCTTCTGACATGCTGCCACTAGATAAGTTCTGTGATATACACTTCTGACCTATACAGAGGGGATTTTAATGGTATGTATAGTAGCCATAATCTGAATTCCTTTCCCTTTTCTTCAAAGCTTACAGTGATCAACTTTATCTCACAGCTTTATTCTCAGAAATCTTCTGTTTTCACTCCTAGCTGTAACCTTAGACTCTACACTCCAGAACTTTCCCACAACATGCTTTTGTCTTGGACTCCCCCATTCTCCTCCATGTCTGCATACTTGCACCTGTTTCTCCTCAAGTTCATGTTCAGATGTTGGTCCTCCCAGGCTAAACTGAACTTCTATGGAAAGCAATTTCCCCTTCCTCCAAAATCTTTCCATACTGCAACTCAAGGGATGAAGGCACTGGTCTTCTTCCCTGCTAATAGAATGAATCATTCATTTGGAGCAGCAGAGCAGCAGAGTTCTGAGCATGAGCGTGAATTCTGGAACCAAATGCGTACATTCATATCCTGTCTTAGACACCTTCTGTCTGTGATACACTGAGTACATCACCCCACTCTGTATGGCCTACCTCTCTTGGGCAAAATATAAGTCCCTGCTCACAGTGCACTGTGAGGCTTAAATGAGTGCAAGTATGCAAACAGGCTCATTCTGATGACTAGCAGATACTAAGTGGTGCAGAAATACTTAATATTGTCATAACATTATTTTACCATTTGCTACTTCTTTAAGGATTTAACACACATATGGTTTTATTTTGTCACTTCCAAATCCATTACAGTGTCAATAAAGATTGAGTATGTGCATCAAAAGCATAGTGATTAATGAGCCCTAGTCATATTTTCAAAGGGGCTATTCTGAAAATAATGTTTTCTTTTAAAATTAGCTAAATAGGTTATTAAGTGAATATTTAATATATATATATTTTATGTCTATGAAACATATGAAATATGCAGAGAGGCATGCCTATCTCCAGTTTTGTATTTTATCCAGAAAGGCACCAACACAGATAAGTAAAATATAAGATACAGTAGAAAGAGTATAGTCAAGAAGTAACTATAGAGATTCAGAAGAAGGAACAAAAAAATGGTTGGGGTTGTCAGAAGATGTCAAATTGGTACAATGAGATGTAATTCTACTAGAACAAAAATTAAATTTCTGACCAATTCAATAATCTCTTACAAGTTCTCAAGTTTTTCATCTGTTAAATATAAGTGTGAAAATCAATCAATATTTTTACCAATAATTCAAGAGGAATTCTTCATTTTCAAATGAAAATTATACAGATGTCTATATTATAGTTACCTTTGTTCATTTATTACCTAGAGACAATATACTAGATATCAATGGAATAACTCATAGGGGCCTCTAGGAATCCAATGTTCTAGGAAAATTTCTGAAGTCATTTCTGGTGGAAGTATTTGGGAATTTTCTATTTTTTATTTAATATTGTTGTCCCTCTAGTCTATAATCTGTCACTTTTCTCTCTCTTAATAAGGAACAGAAATGCTTTAGTCATGTATCATCCAATTTATTTTCTTCCACTGTCTTCTCTCATCTTAAATTCCCTCAGAAAGCTTGCTTTTAGAACTCATAATTATGATTGGACTGTCACACAAAGGAACCATCTCTAAAATATGTTCTCCTACTTAGAATACAATTTATAGAATTTTAATCTCATTTGAAAAATCAGTAAATAAAGAACATTTATTCCCTCTCTCTCTCTCCTCTTTGCTAAATCCATATTTTTTTTTGATAAACCAATAGGCAAATCTTTATCTTTACTATATGTAGTAAATTGGAAATTTAAGGGCAAATACTGTGTAGTAGTGGAAGAATAAAGTTGAAATATTTTCCTCATCTTCAAGAGCACCCAAAGCAATTTTATCTCCCGTTTCTGCCTATTTAAGCATTTATCAATGACAACTTTTTCAAGTGTTTCCCCCATTCCTTGAGAATTTAATACCTTTATATAGTAGAAATATATGAGAAATACCAAGAGAGAGTTTATGTGATGCCATTCTTGGCTCTTCAGGAGAGAGGAACTCCACTTGTAAAATATTAATAGAAAAATGTGCAAAATCATATTAAGTGAAGTAAGTCAGACCTAAAGAAAGCTAGGTCCCATGATTTCCCTCATTTGCAATAATTAGTATACGTCTAGGATAACTTTATCAGATGAGCAGAAAGCTCAAGAGCTATGTATATATGACCATATAAGATGATGCTAAATGAAAGGAACCCTAAGATATGGATACAAGAACTCTGTCTTTGTTGTTGTTGTTTAGTGTTTGGTGTGATTTTTTTTTGTTTCCTTTATATGTTCTTCCCCCTATTTGGTCACTGTACTTGATTTTGGTACCCTGCTTTTGTATATACATTTATCTAACTGGGGGAGAGTAAGGGGAATAACAAAATGCTGAAACAAGGACACAGGATGACCCATTGCAACAATGATACCCACAAGATAGTATATTGGAAATGAACCTTACAGCTTTGTGGGGGGAGGAGTGAGGGAGGTGGGAGAAGGAAGGGATTATAGGAGAACAACAAAGGAGGGGGTAGCAATGCTCGACAAGAAATGCACTCATTACCTTACTCTTGCAACTGTAACCCCTCTGTACAGCATCATTACAATAAAATAAAATTTGGAAAAAAGAAAAAGAAAAATGTTAGTTCCCAATAACACACACACACACAACTCTGGTATGAACAAAAACCAAAAGTAACAAAGTTTGGGCAATGGCTACATTTTTAGTTACATTATGGTATTGATTTCAGTAGAATTAGCTCATACCATATATGCCTGTATGTTTGAACATCACTAATCCTTTAGCACTCATTATACTGAGTTCCATAGTCAGGACCAAACCAATTCTTATTCTACAATGGCTTGCTGAAAATCAAGCGGGAGCACATGAAAAGTAATGGAGTGCCTTGCAAATACCTGTGCTCAGTCCCCTCGAATTGGACACTTGTTGTTTCTTTTTGTGGCCCCACTGAAACTGCACAGAGGTTTATTGTAGCAATATTCTTTTGGCCTTCATGCATTGTATCATCAACATGCAGTGTTTGGAATATTACTGTTGGAGCAGAAGTGGAGAAGCAAGGAATTAGTGAGATAATTGGTCCAAGTACCAAGCAGTAAAAGTGGAGCAGTTGGTGGCTTGTTTAGGGGTGCATTGTGGGACCCTTTCACTAGAACAGTTCCAGAGAATTGCTGTAAGTATAACTAGAGGAAGACAAAGAAGCCAAGCTGGCTTGCCTTTGTTGGAAGATAAGACAGGTGTGCTTGGCTATATTAGAGACTTGGATACAGTTGATAGAAACTCTTCAAAGTTAGATTCCGAAAATTTACTTTTCTAAAACTTGTTCAAGGGGGTTACAGTTTAATGTTTATCTAAGTGTCCAATGCCCATTGAGCAGAGTCACCTCTCCCATTGTTCTTTTCATCCTCTGTTACATTTCCTCCTTCCTTTATTACTTACTTATATTGAATAGTCTTGCTTTTTCTGCCCTGTTTGTTCCCTTTTACATTCTTCCACCCTCTGCACTGCCCCACCTCCAATCTCATTTTCGCTTCCTAATATTTATTTTGTTGTTAGTTGTCAACAATTAACAATGCATTTAATTGTTAATCATTTGAAAGGTTTATTTGGAAAGCTGTAGGGAGTCTGTAGTTTTTCAATAATGCAATGATCAAAGTAGCCTTTTCAAGAATTATTTGAATGACTGTGCTCATCTCAAAATTCACATATATTAAAACATCAGATTATGAAGTAATCATTGGGTGATCCATTGAGCCTGAAAGTCTTTTCCTCTCTGTTCTCCTCCCACAGGTTGTTATTTTATACTTTGAGCCAAGTACATTTCGCTGTATTCTCCTGAGATGGGTTCGTCTGCTCGGTTTTGCCACTGTTTATGGAACTGTGACTCTCAAACTTCACAGGTAGATCATATTTTATTGGTCTTCATTCCTATGAAAGGAACACATTGGTTGGTTTAACATGTAGTAAGCTGGGCTGCTTACTTAAATGGTTCAATTTAAAAAATTTAGATAGCAAGATCATGTATATCATATATACATATATATATATCATATCACATATACAAGTATGATATCTTTTGGATTCTCTGGGGAAATCATTAACACAACTGAACTCTTCAAAGAGACATTTTAATAAGAATTTCATACTAGATTTCCAGAAGTCCAATTTAAATCAAAATCTAGCCTCTGATTCTAAGTAATCATGAGTCTTTTTTTTTTTTTTGTCAGTCGTGGGCCTTGAACTCTGGGCCTGGCTGGTCACCGTCCCTGAGCTCTTCTGCTCAAGGCAAGCACTCTACCACTGGAGCCACAGCACCACTTCTGGTTTCCTGGTAGTTTATAGGAGATAAGAGTCTCATGGACTTTCCTGTACAGGCTTGCTTTGAACCATGATCCTCAGATCTCAGCCTCCTGAGTAGCTAGGATTACAGGCGTGAGCCACCAGTGCCTAGCTATGAGTCTTTCTTTTTAAAGGAAAGAATTAGGAAAAGTAGATGTCTTCTCTGTCTCTTGCTTATTCGTGAAGAACACTTTACTGCTCTGTGCTTCTACTCTTCAGGTATATTCTAGGCTTCCATTCCTTAGATGGTAGCTCTTTTTAACTGATGTTCAACAAAGGAAATGAGAGGTCAGTGACATACTGAGCCTTCTAGAAATTCTCGAGCAATAGGTGCAGGTGCCCTCTCTACTTGAAAATGACCTCTCGCCTACTAGTCTAGCACTTAGTGTCTAATGTAAGCTGTTTAAATGCTGCTTTATAGTTTTCTGATTTCATTGACTTCTTTTTTGGGGGAGGGGGGGTCCAGTCGTGGGGCCCGAACTCTGGGCCTGGGCGCTGTCCCTCAGCTCTTCAGGTCAAGGCTAGTGCTCTACCACTTGAGCCACAGAGCCACTTCCAGCTTTTTTCTTTTTGCTTATGTGGTGCTGAGGAATCGAACCCAGGACCTCATGCATGCAAGGCAAGCACTTTACCATTGAGCCAACTCCCAGCCCATAATTGACTTCTTTTTTAACTTACCTTCTCCTCAAAGTGAGAGGCTTACCATTGAATCTTCAGCACTCAGAATCAATGACTGACATATGGGAGATTCAGTAGATAGGTGAATGAATGTAATGTCAGTTGGAAAGCTGCTTCTCAGAGTCCTCTCTACAAATAATACACTCATTTCCTGAAGCAGTATGCTACACTGTGCAGAACACATAACACTGGACTCTAAAGTATTAAATAGCACTGAATTACTTCCATTAGTTTCTCTTTCAATCCTGATTAGTTCCAAGAGGAAGATTAGTCCCGAGCTAGTATATCTTTAACACATGTTAAACGGTTGCTAATCATTCTTTGGAACTGAGTAGATCAAGATTCAGTTTCCGAGCTTTGCACTCCGATGCTGTCTCCTTTAGATTCACCCCCCTTGTTTTACTGAATTTATTTTTATTGCTTTCCACTTAAGGAAAGTATTGGTTTTGATTTAAGATAATAACAAGGTTTCCTTTTAAAATATGTAAAAAATAAGTAGAAATTGATTTTCAAGAACTATTAGTTGGCACACAGACCCAACAGAAATCTTGAGGGTGTCATGCAAATGACTGAAATTTGAGGAGTTAGGTCTCTTCATCATCTCTTCTGTGTATTTTAAAAACTAGAATTAAAGCTATTTTCTGTTCTGTGTCCCTAGAAATCATTGCAGTGAAGAATTACTCCACTGAAAGCTTAAATTGAGCAGAAACGATTTCTAATTTAACGAGCTAAATTATTCTTAAGCTGTATGAACCATATGGCTTTACTACTGTATTTGGAGGTTTTTTCCCATATTTGTTGAATGAATGTGTGGGCAATGGTTATAGTAAAGGGTGTTGTATAGTTGGTATCTTTTTGAGGCAGACAACATATGACCTTGAAGAAGAAATTTCTAAATTTTGCCACAACAAGGGTGAGAAGAATGTCATAAATCTTAACAATTTCAAATTTGAATTGTAATTTTGCAACTGCTTAAATATACAGTGAAGAAGGAATTATTTTTAACACTAACAATTAGTTTCTTCTTATGTAGAACACCTTAATAACTCACTTAAGTTGTAAGGATGAAATGTAATTTGAGTGTATGAAAATACACCAAGTTTGAGTTGGGTGCCTGTGGCTCACACTGACAATCCTAGCTTGCTACTCAAAAGTCTAAAATCTGAGGATCAAGGATGGGAACCAGCCCAGATTTTTAAAAAGTCCATTATACTCTCATCTCCATTGAACCAGAAAAAAGCCAAAAGTGGAGGTATAGTTCAAATGGTACAATACCAGCCTTGAACAATAAAGCAAAACAAGAGTATTTGTATGTTTCAAATGCAAACCACAGAAACTCGCCATGGCTAAAATACTCAAAAAGGGAAATCTTCAGAAGGTCACAGAATTAAAGAGAAAGCTAAAGAACAAGGCTTTGGGAATGCCTGATGCAGACTGTCCTGAGAAGTCAAAGTAACTGGAGCTAGGACATAATGTCTTTTCAATACCACAGTCTCATTTCAAAGAAATTTTATTTTTCAAAATTACCTTAAAAATTTGTCATACCTAGCTCAGCAGAAAATTCCAAGGAAATTATAAGCTTGACAATATGAAATGGCTGTTACAATCCCTTGAAAACAGAATAGGCAAGAAATGCCTGAGCTATTGCTTTATTCCAGCCATTTACCTCAAGACTTAGAGGAAATACTAAGCATCTCTTTGTCTGTCAGTTGGTCTGTCATGGCTTGATTGTAGTGTTCATAGAATTCCTAGAACACTGAAAATTTGAATCAAAGATGAAAAAAGAAATCAAATCTTACTTTCTTCCTAGAAATGCTACTATTAGTCTGAAATGGGGTCCTGAAGGCTTCATTCACTTCTACTAAGTCTCCAACCTTTCTCTCTCATGGATCTTTCCATGTTTTAGACTAATACAGATAAAGGCTTCTAAAATAACCCAAAGAAAAATTACACAACAGTCCTTCGATTATTAACAATTGTATGCCACAGAAGGGTACCAATTTGGGAGTGAAAGATATAGTTGTCTTTCCCTTTAGGAAGAAGCATTTTGCCACTGATAATGCTTGGAATCACTAAGAATCTGTGATTTTAAAAAAGCAAACCAATATTTATTTATTTATTTATCAGAAGATTGAACTGAGGGCCACACATTTTCTAGACACATACTCTACCACTGAACTATATTTCTGGCCTGGACCAACTTTTAGTTATCTTCCTTATTTGTATATATTCTCTACAAAACAAGATCCCTGGGCTGGGAAGGTGGCTCAGTGGTAGAGTGCTTGCCTTGCATGCCTGAGGCCCTGGGTTCAATTCCTCAGCACCACATAAGCAAAAAGAAAGAAGCCGGAAATGGCGCTGTGGCTCAAGTGGTAGAGCCCTAGCCTTGAGTTGAAGAGCTGAGGGACAGCGCCCAGGCCCAGAGTTCAGGCCCCACAACCGGACCCCAAAAAAAAAAAAAAAAAAACAAGATCCCTTGTTGGCAGGCCATCCATGCACTGAAATGTTTAGTAACTGTAACTATTCCTCTTTGGGTAAAGAGAAATTGAAGAAAGGAGTGAGATAGAAGAAAGGAGGGAAGAAAGGAGCGAAAGAAAATGAGAGTGAGGAAATGGTACATGTTTTAGCCAACTCGGTACAGAGCTAGCTAAAATGGAAGCAAGACAAAAGCAGTTAATTAATTAAAAATACTTTCCTAGCTGGGCATTGGTGGCTCGTGCCTGTAATCCTATTTACTCAGGAGGCTCAGATCTGAGGATCACAATTCGAAGCTAGCCTGGGCAGGAACATTTGCAAGACTCATCTACCATTAGTAACCAAAAGACTGGGAGTGGAGCTGTGGCTCAAGTAATAGTAAGCAAAAATGCTCAGTGCCTAAGCTCAATCCCCAATATCAGTGCATGCATGTACACACACACACACACACACACACACTTTATCAAGTAAACATAGTTATATTTGACTTTGGACATTTCTATGGTGGGCTCACAGAATAGCTACTAGCTAGGTTTTGTTTGTTTGTTGGGAAACTTGGGAAGGCAGCATCTCTAGGCTCAGAAAGGCCAAGTGTATCTCTTGGAAGCAATATAAGGAACTATTTTTAAATGAGGGTATGGAGAAATATTTTTCAAGATCATGCTAATAGTATATTTTCCTATTCCCTATAATCGTGGTTCTGAAAACAAAATAGCTTTCCCTTTTTCTCAGACTAATCAAGAAAAATAGAAACAAAAGATTTTTTTCTGAACTATGTTTCAAATGAATATTTAAGCAAGCTGTGGAAAGCCTTCTTCTGCTGTGGACTGGGATTTGTCACTTCATACATTATTCAGCACTCCTTGCTTGCAGAACAACCAGCAGCAGTTTGCTCTACTGTGCTCATTAGCACCAAATATTTACACTTTGTGGGAAGGTTTATTTTTTATAGGTTTAGTTTATTTAAAATGTGACTAGGAGATATTTATATTTCTTTCTTGTATACATTCTTCCACAAACACATAAAATATAGTCAGATACTTTAAATCTTTAGAAACTGAAGGAAAACAAGTGTGTAGTTATCTAGAAGAGGTGAGAGTTTATAATGGGATGCTTCACTTGTGACAAACAGAGATGGCAGATAATTTACTTATTTTATATGTTGTTATTGTAGGGATGATATACAGAGAGGTTACAGTTACATGAGTCAGGTAATGAGTACACTTCTTTTTGAACCATGGCCCCCTTGCCTTGCTGTCTCCCAGTTCTTTTCCTCTTATTCCCAACTATAAGATGTATAGTTCATTTTCCACACAGTGTCTAGCGAGTACCACTGTTGAACTTGTTCACCCTTTGTTCCATCTCTTCTTTTTTTGTTGGTCGTGGGGCTTGAACTCTGGGCCTGAGC